ATATTTCAACCGTGATTTAAATTCTGCTGCCTTTGTTTAAAGTGGCAATTATGGAACTTATCCCACAAGTATGATTTTTGAAGCCGCTATCTCCACATTCTCCATCCTACTGTGAATAGGGTGCTGTCAAGTTGACACAGTGCTACGCAACTGCTTTTTCTTTCTTTCTTTTTTTATCTTATATTTTTTTCCCCAAAGAGCTGGTTTAATGATTAATCCCGCTTTGCTTTCACAGAAGGATTTCTGGTTGCCTCTTGTTTCATACGGCATTTCTAGGCGGAGGGCGAAAAAAGGGGGTGGGTGGTTTTTTAAAAATGGAAGAGAATCCATTGAAACAAGGAGGACTGTTCTAGCCCAGTGGTTTAGACCCCAGATATTTTTGGACTAACACTCCCAGAAGCCTTCACCACTAGCTGTGCTGGCCACAATTTCTGGGAATTGTAGTCTAAAGAACACCTCAGCTGCCCAAGATACGGAGCCACTGATATACCATATTGTGCTCCATTTATACGCAAACACACACAACTCCCAAATATGGAACGATAATGCCAATAAAACACCTATCCAGGAGTCATTCCAGATATTACTGGACTACAATGCCCATCAGCCATTCATCTTGGAGGACAGAGGACAGTCCAATAAAATCTGATGTTAGAGACGATGCATGTTCTGCTCCAGTAACAGGGAAAACAAATCCCTAGTTCATTGGACGGAGCTGTGTTTCCTATTACAATTTGCAGCTGGCCAGATGTAGAAACAAAATCTTAATTGCTCCAGCATATGGTTAGCTTGTAGAGTAACCCACATTAAAATGGAAGGGGAAGCAGCAAAAAAATCCGACACTGCTTGTGGTCACGCAAGGGTGGCGCCTTTTGCAAACTATTTGCAAATGATGGCAGTTTCATTTCAGTCAATTTCTGGCAACTGCCCTCAGCTTTCAGGAAAAGCCTTCTACAGATTTGTTCCCATTGTTTTGATTCTGCCGTGGCTTTTAATAGTTAAATGGCTTCTTAACATGATAACATTTTGGATATGTTGACCTGAACTGGTTTTTAACCTGCACCTATTCTCTTCTTAGTCTCAGAGCTGAGTCTTAGAACTGGAAGGGACCTTATGGATCATTGGGTCTAGGCCCTATCAAAGTGGCACAGTGGGGGAATCCAACTGCCAACGTCCGGCTCACAGCCACTGAGCTGTCTATCATCATCATCACCATCTTAGAACTACAGAGCTAGAAGTGACCCTACGGACCATCAGCCCCCATCAAGGGGCCCCAGTGGGGAACTAAGTTCCCAACCTCTGTCTCCATAGCCAGAGAACTAACCCACTGAGCTATCCAGCAGTTCATAATAATCTTAGAACTAGGGAGCCGGAAGGGACCCTCTGGATCATCCAGTCCAGCCCCTGGCAAGGAGGTCCCCATGGGGGAACGGTGCTTCCCCCCCACTTTGGGTCTGCAGCCAGAGACCTTCTTCTGAGCCACCTTCGATTCAGGTCTGGGAGAGAGATGGGGTACCAATCAAATAAACCAATAAATGCACCTTTCAGTGTCCGAAACACCCCACAAACCAATCAACAGTTGTCTGTTAAGTCATGATCTCTACTCATCCTAGAACTCACTTTTTTTGTGAAAGGAAATCAGCAGCGCCGTTACTAAGAAAACACATGTTGTTTGCACTGTATTTTTCCTTAGTCATTGTCCCAAAATTTGCAAACACAAAAGTCACCTCTCATCCCCCCCGCAAACAGGTTGTGGCAAGTTACTAAAGCCTCTTCACGCTGATGTCTTGGGCGAAGTTTGTTCTGCCATTCGTCATTTCTCATATGCTTATCACATTCAGCATGAATCACTCACCGCTGGCCCGTCTGGCTTGCAGCACAAACTACGTGTTCTTAAAAACATTGACATATTGCATCCAAGGAGTCTTACTGAAAAACACTTAATGCATGCAAAGGCAGACGCTGAGGCTGAAAAGATTTCTGCTTTCCTCGGCAGAGGAAATAACCCCACATACTTTTTTAAAAAAAATATTCAAACCACATGAAGATTGCATCACACACACATACGAACAGGAAACTGCACCCACGAGTGATTTCTGAGTATAGGATGCACGCCGAAACAGATGCATGTGCCAAACCCCAGATAATGACTCCCCCAATGAGTGGGCTCCGTGCATGACCTCAAGGGAGACACTTAGGCTCAGGACTCTGGAAACCTACAAAGGTTGGGTTGTCATTGTACGCGGATGGACTGCCAAATCTTTGCAGCCCCAAAATACAGGCACTTAGTAGAACTCTCTTCAACCAGAAGAGGCGCTGGACCAAACCAAGCCCGAATTCTCCAAAAAGGACTGAACTGAAGCTATCATATTCCAGGCATACCACGAGAAGGCAAAACTCACTGGAAAAGGCAGCAACGTTGGGAAGACTTAAAGGAAGCAGGAGATGAGGAAGAGCAAACTGAAGAGGGAGTGACTCAATAAGGGAAGCCATGGCTTTTAGTTTGTAAGACCTGGGCAGGGCCGCGAGTGTCAAGAACTTTTGGAGGTCATTAATCCACCGTGTTGTCGTAAGTCGGAAGCAACCTCATGGCATGTAACAATACTGATTTTTACAACACAAAGCAAGGGATCCATTTTGAGGACATACAGTCCTTCACAGAAATTCAACACAATTCTCTGGCTTCTTAACTTACCCTCAACGATCAAGAAGCAGCCAGCAAACCATAGAGCCCAGAAGCCCTAAATATGGCTTGCAGAGCAAGACTCTCGATTAGAACAAAGAAAAGTAACGAGGCATGGAGTGGGAGGAAGGGTCTGTCCTCAAGGCACTTGAGCAAGACATACTGAGCCATGAAAAGAGCAGGACAAAGCACAGGGAAGGAAGGGGGTCAGAAACAAAGTATCCATCCAAGACATACTGAGCCATGAAAAGAGCAGGGAAGGAAGGGTTCAGAAACAAAGTATTCATTATTGTGTTTCCCAAATGCAACTGGCTACATATCTAACATATTGATTAAACAAATCATCCATTAAGATTCCTTTCATCCCACTGCCTTACGAGTCAGTCCTACGACTGCAGGGGAGGATCCCCGTTACTCTTACTCGTTTTTTAGCATTAAAAGCCGAAACCTTCTCAGAAATACTAAAAGAGGCCAGCAGGTTCTGCTCTAACCAAAGATGCCATCATCCTCATCCTCTTTTCTCACTCCGCTCAGCAGCCAGCTTTCCCCACCTCCTCTTCAAAGAAGTGTTATGAAAAGAATTTATACATATTTTCCCCCTTCTTGGACACATACCTAACGTGGGTAGGCTTACAAAAAGCCGGAACTTGCTAGACCAAAAGGAAGTGAACCCGAAAGGGGAAGTGGGCCGCAGTTTGCTGAACGTATTTTAGCACGGAACGGGGCAACAACGGCTGCCACTGAAAAGTTTGCACCCTTCCACGCGCTGAGCCACGCAGCGTGCAGGAGGAGACGGTTAATTCCGGATACTGTCATCAACTTTTGGGTGGCTTGCACATATAGATGCGCAAGTCAACAAAAAGTCAACCAAAAGAAGCTTAAAAGAAACACAGGAGCGTAAAACAAAAGAGGGACTAAAACTTGAGAAACCCAATAGCAAGAAAATGTTGTCATCCATAGGAATACTTTTTCAAAAGCCTGATTCTTGGACCATTGAAAAGAGTTATTCTGTTTTTCACAGGACGTAGAAAATAAATGCTAGAAGCTGTCCCTCAAAGTTCTAGCTGTGACATACAAAAGTGCAACCCCATATAAACCTTCAAATGCCTACCTTCCCTCTCACGCAGAGCGAATGCTGTTTTAGATCAACCAGCAACACCCATGGGCTTACTTTAATTGCTTGCCCCCGTTTTTGCCTAACATACTCACGATTTCCACACTTCAAAATCTGGATTTTAGAAATTCGTCCCGGCGTTAAAACGCAGAACAGGTCACTTCCTTCCAAACAACACCATCGATCTATATGTACATATTTTGGGATTAAATCTCACAGAAGACTGTTGTGCTTCGCTCCTCGGAAAATGTACACAAGACCATCCCTGGTGTTGTCAACAGCCGATATTGCTCACCGGTACGTATTGCGTGTAAAACCTTGCCTAGGAGCTGCTTCAAAATGGTTGAGGAGAAATCCCCGAGCCGGCCAGCCACCAAGTTCTGCGAGTCCTCAAGGAAGAGGGACAGTACAGTGTAGTGGTTAGAGAGCTGGGCCAGGATTTGGAGAGGCGGCTGCTCATCTCCAGGAAAGCCAACAGGTGACCCTTGCGTTGGCCCAAATCTCTAGCTAAGCTCAGTCTGGATCTAGTCCGGATCTCTGGAGTTTGTTGAGAGGATAAAATGCTGTGAGCATCCGGCTGTAGATACTGCCTTAAACTCATTGGAGGAAAGGTGGGGCATATACATTTAAGGAATCAAAGGAAGAAATCATCCACCCTTCCTTTTCTCCTGATCCTTCAGTCTCGCCCACCTGTGCAGCCAGGAGCTCAAAAGTTAATTATAAACTCCTTCCTCCCCCCCACCCCAAGCAGGATGAGTGCTTC